TCAGTAACCCGAGGAAAAATGTTTCTTTATATATATATATTATATATATATTTTCTATTATATATATTATATATTTTCAGGAAAAAGAGGGCGGGCAGTCAAGAATGTATAATAGGGATCGATTTCGTCTTGTAAATTCTTTTATGCCGAAAAATCGATCGTGCGTTCGCCAGATTTATCTTGGAACATGACAAAATGATCAAGGATGACAAGAGCTCTTTCTTCTTTCTTCCGTTTAAAATCGAGTATGTCATTACGTACGGATCCTGCTATCCTACGCAAAAAGAATCTCTAGGAAGATAAAAGTGTTAGAGAGAATCGGATTGTAAAATCGTGACATTTAAAAGAAATTTTTTCGGGGAGACAAGTTCTTCGAAAAAAATGTCAGAATCTTCCTTTCTTTTTTTATCGAAGAACGTGTTGGAAAAGTGTGACGAACGTGGTGCCAAAATTGCCATATAGCAATAATTAGTAGGATTAATATCAGACTGATTCATAATAGTGTTCAAGCACGGGAGTTCGTCGGAAAGTGAAATCTTAATGAAGATTTATCGCCAGACTTATCGCGACTAATAATCGCGTAACTTGGGCGATTAACTGCTGGTATTAGTAATCACTGACTAATTATGTCCAACTCCAAAGACGCGTACAAAAAATTTCGAGTTACTCTGGAAGAATTAAGATATTGCTTAACACATGTGAATGAACGGGAATTTATGTAGAAACTTGATGCATCAAAAGCAAGATAACATTATTATCTCGAATGACTTGAACAATTTAACGCTGCGATTCTACACTTTGATTTTCCTGAATAATCACTTACGATAAGCAACGAGTTCGTTAATCGTATCGTAACTTTTACGAAATATGAAGTTATTATTAATTTTCGCTCGGTTGAACGAAATGGCACAAAATATAGGAAACTGTCGTCTGAAATAATGACGCGAATTAAAATCATTTTATTGTTTTGTATAATTTAAGTAATTTTTCCTAGGAAAAATTGAGACATTTCTAGTTGCTTTAAAATTCGATTTTGTTCTAATTATTTGATTAATTCATATCGAAATATTTTTAAGCACTAAAATCTGTTTGACCGAAAGTGAGATTTCTCTTAATTAGTCTTAATCTCTTATTTATTCTGATCGGTCCAATTTCAAATTGTAACTAATTACTTGATACTCGTTGATGATAACAAAGAGGATGGCAGGAACGAACAGATACTCGTCACGTAGACACGTACACGTGGACACAAATTACGTGCGATCGCGTGAGACACATACACGAAACAGTCACACGAAATATATCTAATAAGGCATCGGTTAAGATCTGACAGCGAAAAAAAAAATAAGATACCTACTTACTAATTACTATAGGCGAGAACACACGTGCAGATTTAAGGAAAAAAATTTACGGAAGACCTTCTGTTGCTCGAATTATTGCATTGTCTACTATATATAAATTTTATTGTATAAATTCTGTCAAGAGAGAGGCGCGCCTCCGAGCGAGAGTCGATGTTTCTTTTTCTCCTCGACCCCCGTATCCTTCCCGTCGAAGGACCTACGAGGACATTCGAGAAAGAGAAGCTGAGGAAAGTGCGTGACGCGCCCGAGGAGTCGCTCCTGCGCGGATAATAGCGATTATAATTAAGTTACTATCGCGATATCGAATGGTACTGCTTTTAGACGACATACAAAGTTTACGATCGTACGAAAATTTTTCTGTCTAAAGTTTCGCGGAGGACAATCTTGGATGTCCATCTTAGATGGTCTGCGATAAACGCGAAGTCGATTTATCTTTTTCCACAATATGAACATTATATCTCTGATAAATATAAAGTCCATTTCATAGCTGTGTAAACAATGTAGTAAGCACGATTGTCTCTTGTGCATTTGGAGTACGGATGCTTTCTTCTCTCGTATCTATAATATACGTATAAATGACGAAAAGCCTCTCGTCGCCGCCACCTTATCGCAGCCAGGTGTCCTCTATTCAGAGTTAATCGAACTTAAGATAGTGCGCCTTATATTATCTATCTTTATCTTTTCATTTAAAAAATTTCGTAAAAACATGATATCAAAGGTTAAGGTTCATTCAACTATAGACATTTCTAAAGATACGCGTAGAAATGTATGTTGTATCATCTCCAAAAATCATTTGTTTCATATTTACGTTCGCCGAATCGTGGAAATTCCACATGCAAAATATAATAGATAAAATATATAAAAAGAAAAGATTGAAAAAAGATCGAATAGCAGATGATATTATAATTCTCTAATATTTAATCTTCCATAAGTTTTTCTTTTCATTCAAAAAGATGTAATAATAATATATTCTGCAGAGAAAGCGAGTTAAATAGTCGTTTAAAAATTAGATACACTTTCGAGAAACTTTTGTATATCGATACCAGAAATTTATTTCTGGATATCTTGATGTCTATTGAGTATTTGATTGAAAATAGTCCGCGAAAAGGGTTGAACGAGCCACCATCCGATTATTCGCGATTCCCGACGAATCCAACCCCAGATTTACGCACTTTCCTCGGTGATAAGTCAGATCGGAGAAAACAATAATCGAACAGGGTCGAGACACTCTAGCTCGGAGACGTATCCCAAATAGTTGGCCTAGTACCAAGTTTCATATTTTTCGCCCCCCGGGTACGCAGTGGATCGTCGAACGATTGATCGTCTATTGTATGATTATTGACATTCTTCCAGAAATTTTATTAATAGATATATATAAACTTTATCGCTACCGTTGAACATAGTAATATTTGGGGGTATATACGATTAGGGCGATACCTTCGGTATTTATTGGGGACACCGAGAATTTTCAAAGAGAAATGTGGGATTAGTAGGATTATTATATATATATATATATATATAAATATATAAGATATATAAGAGAGAAAAGGGGACATTAGGGGCACAGTTGAGGGAAAGGACGGGGGCGGGTGATAATGAAACGAAAACGAGATAGCGTGTAACGATGTAATGAGTCTTTCCAGAGGAAACGAGAAAAGGAGGACGGAGATATATACGTCGAGATGAGTTTTTTTCTTGCGTAAAACGAGCTGAGTGGCGAGAACCAAGGATGAGATTAATTAAATGTTGCAGCGTATGTGAGTGGAAATATATGGTATGCGCAAGAGAGTATAAAAAGAACCCTTTACGTTTTCTCAAACTCGTTACGTAAACGGTACGTTAGCAATGAAATATATTATGATTACGATGATTGCTATATTCGTTGTTATTGTTCCTCGGTTGTAATGCGGAGACGTTTAAGAGTGATCCATTTGTACAATCATTGAGTCATTAAAATATGATTATTCATTATGGAAGTTCTGTCTCTTTATTCCCTTTTTATCCATGATGTCAATGATAAGCAGTGCAAATTGATTTCACTTTGGAATTTCCCATCGTACAAATTATCGCATTGATTATATACAATTTATTGATAATTTAATTTAATTTTTTGAAATTTAAAATAAACTCTTCGCAACAAATTAACTAAGCAATGCAATAAAAAATCTGTAACTATTGGAAGAACTTCGTTAAAAATTGATTTTAATTTTCAAACTTCTTGTGGTCAACTGATTTAACTTATATTTTATCTCGATGGAGTTAAGATTCTTGAGTATTTATTGCCATAAATGAATATGCCATAAAAGAATTTGAAGAAATTAAGTCGTTTCTGAGAAATTTTGCGACAGATAATCGGATGAACAGACAATCCAACACTAAACTTGTAAAATAATTTGCTATACTGCACTACTTAATAAATGCATGAAAACATAAATAGTTAAGGCCTGTCCAATTTGAATTCCGGAGCCAAAACGCAAAACCATCGACGTAAAAAAATTCAATGTAAGATTTTAGGAAGTATAAACTATTGATAAGCGTCACTTAGATGCGTATCAACACTTTACAGTCCCCGGAATCTTACCCAGGTAAGGAATATTATCGGATAACTTAATTTATTTTACAAAATAAAACTTATTTTTATCGCGTATATATTTTTTATAGTTCTTTAAGATTTGACATTGTACAATTAGTTATTAAATATGAATCAGTTCTTAAAATATTAAAAATATAAAAATAAAATATTAAAATAAAATTATCAAAGATTACACGTCTATACTCGAATATTGTATATTCTTTTAAACTTGTGCTGCAATATAAATACAAAAGCTTTATCACATTGTTTCATGAGATATCGATAACTCACAGGTGTTTGGGGTTTGATAAAATTCCATATTGCTTTGTGAAGTGATTAATAAATATTGCAGATAAACTAAGTAGTTAAATCTAAAAGGGTCATTTTAACTGACAATGAAGAAAACCAAATGTAATAGCGAACAATTTATTTATTTCCATTATAATTTCTATTCTATTTATTTCTAAAATAAAACGAAAGAATGTAATGATTATCATTATTACATACAGCTGTCGATGAGTTTTCACAAATGAATATTTCATCTAATTCGATCCCAATTGAACAGCTGAAAAGGTATCAACATCCCCGTCTATCAGCTACGCTATATTCCGCTATTGATAAGGAAACTGAATTCTCACCTGCATGATAAGCTGTTGGGACAGGTGGCCCGATTATATCAAATACAATTTGATATAATAATGTACGTCGATAATCCGAGACAGTAGTTCATTCGATCTGGGAAAGGGAATACAATGCCAATTAATATCTAAATATCTTGAAACTCTCATTAATAAATCCGACAATTTGACCGGCGAGTCGCAATCCGCAAAGTGAAACAGACAGAGAATCTGCAAAGCGAAACATAATCGCAATATCTCGTTGATTACAGTGACTACATAAAATTACGGAAAGAATTACGGTGAATATTTGGCGGGAACAAAGCCGTGAAGTTTGAAGTTAGATTCAAGTTTGTATATCATGAAGAAATTAAATTATCTATTGCGTTAAAGTGAATAATCGAGCATTTAACGCGTGGAGAGATTTATTGTGCGGGAAAGATTAATAATTTGCGGAAATGAATGGAAGCGCGAGATGGGAATTCGTTCGAGGAGATACATTGTCAAAGAGTGGTATTTATCACGTTAATCTCGCTCGCGATTGATTTGTCGATGATAATAGCAGCGTCTTGAAGTTACAAGTCCAATTGCTGCTTCGTGCTTCACGGGATATCGGCTGCTATTAAGAATCGAGTGATTTCGGGACGTTCTTTTCGGTGGAAATCATTCGATTAATAACGTTATTCAAGTACACCCTCAAAATGACACGACTGGAAGTGTTGGGTTTTTTTCTCGCGCTGTGTTACGTCTTGATCTTAGCGGATGAACAGTACTGTACGTGGTACGGTGAGTGCGGAATAGATGGGGAGACATTTTTTCCACGGACTTGCGTGGCAAAGAACAATAAAGCCCAGCCGATCAACGACTCGACAGTCGAAGCTGTTTTAATGAAAAAATGCCCGCATTTCTTTCAAAACGGCGGTTTGTATATTAAAATATGTTTTTGTGAAATTTCTTTGTTGCGATTATCAGTAGGTAATTGATAGATGTAAAGTGACACCTTCGCTTTCAAGAATAGGAAAGAATGGTGTCATGATGCTCAGGAGGTCGGACCGATCATTTTAATTACGAGAATTCTAATTCGATGAAAATTTCAAGTGGTAATTCATATATGAAATGATGACATAATAAGAGGTTTTTATCATACTTAAATGTATGCGTACTGTATTTTATGATCATTAATGAATCTGGTTTTTTAAAGCTTTTACATGACAAAAAATAAAAAGATAATTATAGATATAATTATCTATTTTTTTATTTTCTGATACTTTTTTCTGGAACAGTCTAATCATCCTGATCCCACGCAAATAATTGTTTTAATGAATTTCTTCAATGGTTTTCTATAATGATCCTATAATATTATATGACTCTACAACAAACTTTAGAAAAACTCAATTTGAAAAGTAAATATTAATTAATTTTCTTTGGCGATCTCACCACCTCACTCTCCTCTAATTTTAATTACATGCGTTTACGTAACTGGAACGTGTTTGATATCCTATAGAACCGCCAGAGCGAACATGCTGCGATGCAAAACAGATCCTTACGATGGATAACAGCATGAATATGGCGGAAAGTGTTTACGGCAGGTGTCCGACTTGCGTAAAAAATATGTTTCGACTGATTTGCGACTTCACATGTAGCCCTGAACAGAGTCGATTCGTGAAGGTGACTAAAAGTGCTGAGGAAAATGGTAAAGAGTATGTCGTCGAATCTCAGGTGATCCTCAGAAGTATATTTTGATTCTTACATTCTAATTTCCTCAAAAAAATAAATCCAAGCATAAAAAATAGAAAAAATAGTAAACGAAAAAAAAATAGTAACCACATGTTTAAACTCTTACAGACTAAATAACAAAATAGCGTAGTAACGCAATTAATAATAATAAACATGAAAAATAGTAAATTAATATGTTAAATATAGCAAATAATTGTAATAAATAATTGTAATTTGTGATGACAAAGTTAAAAATAATTTGCAGTAATAGAATTTAAATATTGCTGACCGTATTGTAGGTTCACGTCACGGAAGCATTCATAAATGGAACTTACGATTCCTGCAAAAACGTTATCAATCCTACAAGCGGAAATTTGGCCATGGACATTGGCTGCGGCTCACTTGGAGCCAGTAAATGTTCCCCAAAATTGTAAGTAAGCGGTATGATCTCCACGTGCGATTATCGAAACACTGAATGAAATAGAACAAAACCACGCATAATATACATGGCGTATAATTCTTAAAGGTGGTATGAATACTTGGGCAAATTGAACCCTTTCAAGCCCTTCGTAATAGACTATATTTATGACGCAGCTGACGAATGGGGCGCCGAACCATGGAATATTACAACGAAAAATTGCAGCGAGGTTTATGACGTAAGTGCGAGAGGAAGAAGCACTTTTAATGTCTTGCATAAATTAAAGAGACTTTGAAACTTATTTATTCATCTTAAATTTAGCATATTAAAATGTTTTTTTTTCATATTTAATTTTGTTAGAACTCGTCTAAGGTCTGCAGCTGCGTTGATTGCCCCATCGCGTGTCCCTTCATACAATTAGACATTGACGCTAACGATACGTTCATGATTGGCGAATTTAGTGGCTACGGCGTCATAGCGGCTATACTTGTCATTTTGATTACAATTATAGTAGGTGGCATATACACAGTGATCAAGAAACGTAGAAATGGTATGAACAGTAGAAAATCAATCTCTCTTAAATTGATATTAGAATTTTTTAAAAACTTTCTGTTTAACATTTGAAATTATTCCTAAATTTCTGCGCTGTTAGGTTCTTTCAAGACACCAACGAAAAAGACTGACAGAAAGTGTAGGCAAAGCTATCAAAAAGTCTTTGAAGTAGCTTTCGCTGCTTGGGGAACAGGTAATTATTTCTTTCATAAATATAATTTTATATTACATGTGTATGAGTGTGGATATCTTAATGATGGAAATTTATTAATAGCAATATTTCTTTATGCATATATTTTAACAATATAATTTTGTGAAAAATTGTATCGCGTGAAATGCGCATAAGAAATGTTGTTATTATAATACATCTCTCGTACATCTAAATAATGCAAATTAAAATGTTTAAAATATATTACTATCTTTTTATATGTATATTATTAAAAATTTATTTCCTTATCATATTATTATACATACAATGTGTGAAAGAATGAATTTTTGGACGCAAGCAACAAACGTTAACAGTTCTCTATATTCAACAGGGTTCGCCAAATATCCCATTATCACTTTGTTCGCTATCTCGTGCATCATTCTTGGTCTGAGTTACGGAATCACGCACCTTTCGGTGACAGTTAATCCCATCGAAATATGGGCGGCGGCGAATAGCAGAGCGAGAATAGAAAAGGATTATTTCGATAGTCATTTCCAGCCGTTTTATCGGACCGAGCAAATCTTTATAAAGTCTGTTGGTCTTGATAAGGTAAAATACTTGTTGCAATAATTATGATACAATAGTAATTAATATAGCCCCGACATTCTTGTATAAACATCCAAATAAAATTCATAATATCTAATATTCCTTTCAACGTTAAATTTTTAACATCCATAACATATTTTTTAATATTTAAAAATATTAAAAAGATTTAAATTTTTTTCATATTATATATGATAATAAAAGAGAGAGAGAGAGAAAGAGATTTTTCTAATATAAAAATAAATCTTTTTAATTCAAAAGATAAGACATAATACTTCATTAGGAATTATGGAGTTCGGACCAGTGTTTAACAGAGAGTTCTTGCTAGCCGTATATGACCTGCAGCAGCAGATTCTTCAAGTACGTTGGTACAATTAAGAAATTAATTACTCAGTATTCAAAATATAATAATTAAGTGTGAGGCTAATATTTTTAACGTTTACAGTTAGGCCAAGAAACCGGCGAAGGACTAGAAAAGATCTGCTATGCTCCTGTACAAAGCGAATTTATCGGACCAGTTACTCTTAATCTCTGCACTGTGCAAAGTGTATGGGGATATTTTCAAAATGATCTCACTAAATTTAATAAAACAGAGGTGATCGAAGAATACAAAACTAACTACTTAGATTACTTGTACAAATGTATGCAGTAAGTATCGATACACTCACGTTTGTACGTCTAATAAATCATGCAATAATAGCACATTCAATAAACATTTATGATAGTAATTTAATGCTCCTTAACTTGTCATTTATAAGTTAGAATATTAATAATAATTCGATGATAATAATAATTTAAAAAAAATAATTTCGCAATTTTGAAAAAATGTGAACGTGTCAAATTTACAAAGTAACAAGTCATTGGATCTTTCTTCCAAATGTATAATATAACAGTTTGCGTAATAAAAGTTGTTGAAAAATTCCACTATACTTAAAATCTTAATAAATCGTCTTTCAGAAATTCTTTTAATCCAGACTGCATGGCGCTATATAAAGGACCCATAATACCAGCTGTAGCGATTGGAGGTTTTCTGAGAGAAGGAGAATTTCAATACGAATCTTCGGATTACATTAAAGCGACTGGATTAGTTTTAACGTTTCTGGTAAGAAATTCTCTTAATGAGAAGGATCTCGTGCCAATCATCAAATGGGAACAACGGTGCGTAAAAATCAAAAGAGGAAAGAGAATAAAATTGAATGAGGATGACACCGATAATATAATTATTAATGTACGAATTATGTGTATTAAACTGCGCGATTATTATAAATTTCAGCTTCCTCGACTTTATGGAAAAGTGGAACCAAGATGGTCGACCTGATTTTATGGACGTCGCATGGTCTACTGAAAAATCGATACAAGACGAATTGGATAGGACATCGAAAGCGGAAATGATAACGGTGGTCATCAGTTACCTTGTTATGTTTCTTTATGTCGCCTTAGCTCTCGGTAAAATAAAGGCTTCCGTTATTGGCTGTTTCGTAAGTTTTATACCTTTACATTCGATCTCGTAAAATTATAAAACTCATAGGGTGCGTTCTCCGAGTTATGTATGAAGCGCATCATTTATCTTTATTGTCTATCAATTAATAAAGAAGGATACAATGATACATCATGCGCTTTATGCGTAATTCGATCCGTAACGCATCCATAAACATATGACGCAAACGCTTTAATTATAATTTTCCAATTAGACTAAAAGCAGAATCGTATTGAGCGTCGGTGGAATCATCATAGTTATAGCATCGGTCGCTTGTTCTCTTGGTATTTTCGGCTATATTGGCGTACCAACTACTCTACTCACAATCGAGGTATCATAATTAATTTATGAGAGACTTAACATAATTTTTATTGAACATTTGCATAATCTCGTAAGTAAAGAATGATCCCAAAAAAAGGGATTTTTTTCGCCCGTTTTTGGGTTCTCAATGTTTGGACTGAACTGTGTGCCAAATGATACCCTACAATGAGATATTAATTATAAAAAAGTTTCAGGTTGAGGTGACAATTGTTATCATAGCTGGAGGGGGTGTTACGTATATTACGTCCATGCGAAAATCCGATTTTTTTTACATTCAAAGCGTCATTTAACCAAATATTTCATGGGCAGGTAAAGCGGATTAAACTAAAGCGAATCAAAAAGTCCTTTACTATTTTGCAATTTTCGCAATAGTTAACAAGATATTAATTACTAAACATTGTCGAAAATTGATCTTCAATAATTTTTTATTCAAATATTATCAATTTTACAGAAAAACTGCAAGAGACAAAAATTGTTATTTTCTTTTCATAGAACTCTAAGAATTTTTTCAGAATTTTTTAATACCGTATTTTCTCATATTAGTAAAAATAAGAAAATGCAGTATTAAAAAGTTGATAAAAAATTATGAAAAAATTCTTAAAGCTCTATGAAAAAAAATAAACAATTTTTGTCTCTTGCAGTTTTTCTGTAAAATTAATAGTATTTGAGTAAAAAATTATTGAAGACTAATATTCGACAATTTTTAGTATTTAATATCTTGTTAATTACTGCAAAAATTACAAAATGTTAGAGGACTTTTTGACTCAGTTTAGTCCGCTCTATCTGCCCATGAAACATTTGGCGATTATTTCGTATACCTGTATAATGATAATTCAATAACAGATTTTGATTCCATCTCCCCAGCTTTGAAAACAATTATCACCTCAACTTGAAACTTCTCTGTGATTAACGTCTCATTATAAGGTACTATTGGATACAGAGTTCAGTCGCAAAATCGAGGGTTCCAAAACAGGCGATTTTTGAAGTCACTCTTTCTTGCAAATACGCAAAACAAATTACTATAATAAAATTTAAAGTGTATAATTTTGTAAAAAATATTAAAGTAATTTAATTATTTCCTAATGTACGTTTTTAAATAATACAAAATTAATATGGACGTGATAAAAAAATTAAACATTCATCAAATGTAATTTAGATAATTTAAACAATGTATTAATAATAGAGACGTTTATACAGGTACAATAATTTAATGGTAAATTATTGTTCAGGTAATTCCTTTCTTAGTGCTAGCTGTCGGAGTTGACAATATTTTCATTTTGGTGCAAAATCATCAAAGAAATCCACGAGACGTCGACGAAACAATTCCAGAGCACATCAGTAAAGTTCTGGCTGCAGTTGGACCCTCAATGCTGCTTACCAGTACATCCGAATGTTGCTGTTTCCTCATTGGTAATGATATCATATAAGTTATTTAAAAAAAAGAAGAGTATGGCCTTTCCTCCCGCTTGTAATTTTAATATAAAAAATAAAAATTTCAGGGGCATTTTCTGCAATGCCAGCGGTCAATACCTTCGCCATGTACGCCTCGGTATCGATTTTAATTAATTTCCTCCTTCAAATAACAGCTTTTGTTGCTTTATTGTCGCTTGACTCCCGGAGAGCTGAGGTAAATTGTTAACAATTTTTATTAATAGTTTTGCTGTGAGAGAAATCATGTCTTTAACAATTAATAAACACATATACACAAATGCAAATTGATATTATTTTAATTATATTCACACATTATATAATTATTTCAATTTTGGAAGGAATTTTAATTATCCTAATGACGATCACAATATTTCAATTCTTAACGAGATTCTCAAAGTTGACTTGTGCAATTTTTAAAGCAAATAATCTGATATTTTTTTAGAATAATCGCCTGGACGTTTTCTGCTGCGTTTCCGTCAAGAATAGCTCGAATGTCGACGAACGCGATGGTATTGTTCGCGCAATCTTCGAGCGCACCTACACGCCGTTTCTGATGAAAACGCCGGTCAGAGTTGTCGTCATAGTGATCTTCGTCGCTGCTCTCGCTACTCACGTGACAATCTTTCCGCAAATGGAGATTGGTCTGGACCAGAAACTCTCGATGTCCGAAGACTCTTACGTTCTCAAATACTTTACGGTAAAGAGTAAAAAACAATATAAAAAATAATTAAAATCATAAAGACGATAATTATTACAATTCAACACGTGCAGTCAATCATTTATGCGTTGCTTAAAAATTGAAGCGAGAAATCTTTTTCTCTTATTAAAATTCGAGAGAAGGCATTTATTTTATATTTTTAGAAAATCATATTACATTTATTATACAGAATATTGTGTTATATAAATAGCATTATAATTGTAACAACTATTGTATTTTTAGTATATGGAAGATCTTTTTTCAATGGGACCACCTGTATACTTTGTGCTGACAGAAGGCCTGAATTACAGCAAGAAAGAAGTACAGAACATCATATGCGGCGGTCAAGGATGCAATACGGATTCTTTATACACGCAGATATATTCGGCTTCCAAACAATCCTCCGTGTTTGTAACTCTCATAATTTAAGGAATTCTCAAAAAATGTGTTGCCAGTCATTAAAAAAACTAAGAAAACAAATTTCTTTTCTATTTTTAACATAAAGTAAAATATCGATTTGTTTCATTGGACTAATTTTATGCTCTTTTACTGCTGATCAATTTGGCATTTGCAATTATTTTCGGGGAATTTTTGTAGCTAAATTAAAAATATTTACTTGAAAATATCACTCATGCAGGAAGAATTTTATCTATTAATCATTGCAGATCCTATTTGTCTAAAGCAGCTTCATCTTGGATAGATGATTACCTCGATTGGTCGTCGATTGATAGCTGCTGCAGATATTACACGAACAACCAATCCTACTGTCTGCACACTAATGGTATGTATTATCACATAAAATTATTAATATACATGTCTACGTATTTGTATGTAATATTTTTCGGGCATATCAATTTTCGGGCAATAATGCCATACTCTTTAAGCTTATACGTAATTTTCTTTCTTATTAACTTTAGTAAATTTAACTTGACGATAAAATAACTTATAGGTGACTGTGAGCCATGCAAGATTGCCATTGATCAAGATACCTCTCGTCCGAACGAGACGGGTTTCAGAAAGTATATCCCATATTTCGTGAACGACATTCCAGACGAAAAATGCGCCAAAGCTGGCAAAGCCCTTTATTTCGATGTAAGTCAACATTATTAGGAATTATCGCATTTTGATAAATTAAAATGAAGTATTTTCATGCACAAAATAAATTCTTTTCAATTCTAAAAACGCAACAGCAAAAACTATATATATAAATAAAAATTAGATTTTTTAAATAACAACATATTAAAAAATTCTTGTTTGAATAGGCAATAAACTTTTATTACGATGAGTATGGTCTGACAAATGTGAATGATTCGTATTTCATGGGTTACCATACGCCCTTAAAAAAATCATCAGATTGGTACGAGGCGCTAGAAGCTGCCAGGATAATATCGGAAAACATCACAAACATGATCAACAATGCTAATGTGTCCGATCAAGAAATTCATGTATTTCCATATAGGTAAGATTTCAATAAATTAAAAAGAATTCTATACTTTTACAATTAATTATCTAACTTGAAAAATTGGTAAGCAAAATATAAATTGTTAATTTTTAAAAATTTTCTTATTATCATGCATTATTAGTTATCGAATAAATTTTTCATTGCGTCTTTCAGTGTATTCTACGTGTTCTACGAGCAGTACTTAACTATCTGGCGGGAAACCTTATCGTCGATAGGTTTATCCCTTGCTGTGATCTTCGTGGTTACGCTATTTCTCACAGGAATATCATTATTCTCCGCAGTGATAGTCGTTCTTACTGTCTTGATGATAATAATTAATTTGGCGGGTCTAATGTACTGGTGGAACATCAATTTGAACGCAGTTTCTCTTGTTAATTTAGTTATGGTTTGTGTAATTTTATTTTTTCCTCGTTCTCCAATGAGACGATATCAGCTATAATTAAATAATTATTTTTATCATTAATTTAATAATACCATTACATAGAAATATTTACTCCGTTATCAGATTACGATATAAAAGTTTATCATTATTTAATATTGTATGTGTTTAAAATAATTATATTTTTAAAAATGAGTTGTTAAATCATATAATAAATTTGCTAAGTTATTATTATGCGCTAAAATATGAATTTTTATAGGCAGCTGGTATCTCCGTAGAATTTTGCAGCCATATAGTGCATTCCTACATTACTTCTGCAGAGACGACGAGGATCGGTAAAGCATCGGAAGCCCTTTCCGTCATGGGAAGTTCTGTAAGTCCAATCAAATGTCATGAAGCACAACCGATACACACTTTCTAGTTTAAATACCTCAAAAAGAAAATCTCTAATTCTGTTGGATAAAATATTATATTTTGAATATAAATCCGTTCTTACGCTATTTCATAGGTATTCTCCGGGATTACTTTGACCAAATTCGTAGGAATCGTGGTACTGGCGTTTGCAAAGACACAGATTTTTCGCGTTTTTTATTTTAGAATGTATTTGGGAATTGTACTGTTTGGAGCGGCTCACGGTCTAATATTCTTACCAGTGTTATTAAGTTTTGTTGGTGAGTATCGCATAATCACATTTTGAAATCGCTAATTTTTTTAAATATAATAGGATATGAAGAGCAATAATTATTAATTATTACAGGACCTGTATAGAATACTTATTATTCCATGAAGCTGATAAGACTCGTAAAAAAAGTGCACAGCAATGTAACAGCCATCCCATGTTGACTTATGTGTTTGTTTAGAGATTATCAATATTATTGCATAAATTATTTCATTAATATATGAATCTACGAAATTTTAATTTCTGCATTGCTATTCAAATATCATTTGCATTAGACTGGATACACAGTCGTGTATTAATCAACGTGTGACAATCATCATGTATATAATTGTATATATATATTCAGCGAATCTTAGTGCAATTTTTCACCAAACCTATCTTATTATGTCGTGTGCGTTGTATGTTAACGTAAATATTTTTGTGAGAATCTTTCTTTTTTTCTAATTCTAAGAATGCAGAAAATACATTAATATTCCTACCTATTTATTAATAAGTGAACAATAGTCGAATTTGTCGAATTTTATCAGTATTCATCTTTCAAATGATTGTAATATTAAACATTTGAAAGGTATAATTTATTCACCTATTATAAGCATTGAAATCAATAAAATTAAATAGATTATTTACTTTAATATGTAACTTGGTATTTAATTCTATAATAAAGGTATCACAAACGATACGACAAATTATTTTTGCGAAGTTATATAATAAATACTACACAAAGGAAATTTCTGGTTGGACTTTAAAATTTATAAAAAAATCATTCGAGCTTAATCCTAATGCAATTTAATGTTTATTAGCCAAGAATGCGTTCATTTACATATATATTTGGATTACACTTTCTTACATTCTTGTTGTACTTCGACATGAATATTTTTCAAAGTAATGTTATAAGTATATGTAGTTACTTGAAACATAAATTAAAAAAAAAAACGTTAAATATATAAATGCTACCTCAATACTACTGATGCTATTCGTTTTCAATTTGCGACTAGCGGACCTTTCTGTAGATTTCCAGCTTATAAGAGCACACCTCCGCGAAGTCGTAAAACTAAGTGGAGTGTAGATTCTTTTTGGATGTTGTAATCAGAAAGAGTTCTGCCGTCTTCCAGTTGCTTGCCAGCGAAGATTAAACGCTGTTGATCTGGAGGGATTCCTTCTTTGTCCTGAATTTTGGCCTTCACGTTTTCAATAGTGTCTGAAGCTTCGACTTCAAGAGTGATGGTTTTACCTGTGAGAGTTTTCACAAAAATTTGCATTCCTCCTCGAAGACGCAGAACCAAGTGAAGTGTGGATTCTTTTTGGATGTTGTAGTCGGAAAGAGTTCTGCCATCTTCCAGTTGTTTACCGGCGAAGATCAGACGCTGTTGATCCGGTGGAATTCCCTCTTTGTCCTGGATTTTAGCCTTTACGTTTTCAATGGTGTCTGAAGCTTCGACTTCGAGGGTAATGGTTTTACCGGTGAGAGTTTTCACGAAGATTTGCATTCCTCCTCGAAGACGCAGAACCAGATGAAGAGTAGATTCTTTCTGGATGTTATAGTCTGAGAGTGTCCTACCGTCTTCCAACTGTTTACCAGCGAAGATCAAACGTTGCTGGTCAGGAGGAATGCCTTCTTTGTCTTGGATTTTAGCTTTTACGTTTTCTATTGTGTCAGAGGCTTCAACTTCAAGAGTGATGGTTTTACCGGTGAGAGTTTTCACGAAGATTTGCATTCCTCCTCGAAGACGCAGAACCAGATGAAGAGTAGATTCTTTCTGGATGTTATAGTCTGAGAGTGTCCTACCGTCTTCCAACTGTTTACCAGCGAAGATCAAACGTTGCTGGTCAGGAGGAATGCCTTCTTTGTCTTGGATCTTAGCTTTTACGTTTTCTATTGTGTCAGAGGCTTCAACTTCAAGGGTGATGGTTTTACCGGTGAGAGTTTTCACGAAGATTTGCATTCCTCCTCGAAGACGCAGAACCAGATGAAGTGTGGATTCTTTTTGAATATTATAATCAGAGAGAGTTCTGCCATCTTCAAGTTGTTTGCCAGCAAAAATCAGACGCTGCTGATCCGGGGGAATTCCCTCTTTGTCTTGGATTTTGGCTTTCACATTTTCAATAGTGTCTGAAGCTTCGACTTCGAGGGTGATGGTTTTACCCGTAAGAGTCTTCACAAAGATCTGCATGCCTCCACGAAGACGCAGAACAAGATGAAGTGTAGATTCCTTCTGGATGTTGTAATCGGAAAGGGTTCTGCCATCCTCTAGTTGCTTTCCAGCAAAGATTAAACGTTGCTGATCTGGAGGAATACCTTCTTTGTCTTGGATCTTAGCTTTGACGTTCTCTATAGTGTCAGAAGCTTCCACCTCAAGGGTGATGGTTTTCCCAGTGAGGGTTTTTACAAAGATTTGCATGATGAATCTGTAAATAAGAAACACATACAATATTATATTATAATAATGTGAGTCTAATATTTTTCATATTATTATTAGTAAAATTCTGTCGCACTATAATAATTATTGGATGCTGTCCATTTAATTTAGACACAAACTGACACAAGTATCATTGTTTTTGTTATTTAAGAAATGACAAGAAAGACATTTAGGTCAATTTGTGTCATTAAATAAAAAGCACTCATTAAAAGTTTTAATCGTAAAAATACAAGTTTAAGAATAAAAAGATTTAATTCAGTGTAGAAAAAATAAGAATAGTAATTTTATATCAATTTGATTCCAACAATATCTATTCCCACAAATTAAATTATCTTGATATTTCTATCTAATGACACAAATGTCATTCCATCTTTCTTGGCATTCAATGAACAATGAAAATAGAAAAATACTTGTCACCAAATGGAAGTCTTTTTTCTCTTTTACAGTTTCATGTATCTCATTTGAGTAGGCCTTTACAAAATACATCGTAGTCATAGATTCCAATTACAATCAATTTAACGGTACAAATGCTTCAAAGTTAGATTAACGAAGAAATTAGGTCAAAGACATCTACGCTTCGTAGCATTTGTAGCAACGAACGATTTACAGATCGCAGTCTCTGCAAAGCATCCATCCACGTAATGGCGTCCGTTCGAAAGACAAAATAATTTCTAATAACATCCTTTTCGGTGATACTCTAATCTATTAAATTTGATATAGAGAGGATAAACCTAATGTTATTTTACGTGTTCAAGACAAACGAACACTTCGAAGCTTGCCGTTACAAACCTAATACGTAATATAATCGATCGCACGACAGCAAGGAATTGTTAACTTGGCAAAATGGAAGGGTTCATAGCGTCGACAGAAATTTCTAGTCTGCGCAACAGCGACAGATTTTCGCGTACAATGATGAAACGGATCACCGATCGCTTACCTGAAATCGAAACGATCCGCACCTACTGACTTGCGATGCAATCGAGAATCTTCGATAAAAGAGGCGTAAGGACAAGCGTTACCGGATCAACCTCGATCAACTTTCTGCTCTCACAAAGTATTGAAGTATGTAGTGACGTAGAACGCACGAAAAAATAACATCTGACGAGAGCATTTCCCGCGCATGCGCCACACGTGTCAATGACCGATAAGATAAAGTAGAGAGCCTCAGGGTGCTATTACATGAGCGCGAAAACGCGGAAATGCGGAAACGCGTAACCAATCAGAAGCAATCCGCTGTTATGGTTTCGCGTTTCACCGATTACTGATTGGTTGCGCGTTTCCGTATTTCCGTGTTTCCGCACTCATGTAATAACACCCTCACAGGGAGAGAGTGGCAAATTTCATCATGTGAATGGCCGCGTCCAATCAGGACGGGGGTCGCGTGACCGGTTTCCTTCAATCTTTTCGATATCTATGGAACTTTGATGACCAGGTCCAATCAGAGGAGACGGGTCACGTGATGCAATTTGCTACTCTCTCCCTGGGACGTGTTCAAGGCCTGTTCTTTTTGGCTGAACTTTTGCACCATCTTTCTTCCTTTTCTCTTCAGGAGGAAAGAAAAAGAAGAAAGATGAACTGGTGCAAGAGTTCAGTCAAAAAGAACAGACCTTGAACACGTCCCAGGGAGAGAGTAGCAAATTGCATCACGATTCCCATCTGAGTGCTCCCGGGTGTTATGTTATCCTTGTTTAACGTTTGGTAAAAAATAAAAATAGAGGGATACGTGGGTGGCACTCGGGTTCAGAATCTTGGAGCATGTTGGACGCGAACAAACTTTAAGGCCGATTTTCATAGTCAGTTCTCATATACAAGACCGTCTTAAATTCAGTCTTGAGATATCACGAACCAATCAGAGGGCCGCATTAGTGTCTTAAGACATTACTTAAGACAGTCTTGAAATAAGATCTGACTATGAATACCAGCCTAAGGCCGGAATCCATAGTCCGGTCTTAATCTCAAACAATAGACACAGTCAGCAGACTCGACAGTTGAGTGAGCGCTCGCTGCATTGATGTATTCTTCAAGATCTAAAATTCTGATTGGATGAGCTAAAAGAATATACCAATAACAGCAAGCGCTCATTCAACTATTGAGTTCGCTGAATGCGCCCAATGGGTGCACTCAGTGAGCTATTTGTTTGGTCTATATTTTTAGTTCTAACGGAATATGCCAATAAGATACAAGCGCTCACTGAACGCTTAGTGAGCGCATGTGTGGTGGAATAAAAATATTTTTATTCCACCATGACTACTAGTACTCATTATGATACTGTTGCGATATTGACATAAGGTGGTATTTTCCTGTAGTATTTCCTCCTTCCTCACTCCCCCCTCCCAAAAGGTCGTCCAGCGGCAGCGCTGAAGTTGCCATTATTTGGCGAATTTTGGGCTACCTAGAAGTCCGAAGTTGGCGATCTATACTTCTAACAATCTGACAACCCTGAGTTTTATCAATGTTCTCATCCTAAATTTAAACAATTCTAATCATATAAATGAAAGTCGATAAAATTTTTTGTCATAATCATACAATAATATAGAATTGTAATTTAATAGAATTGTAGTTTATTATTTATCGATTTCTATAACTGAAGACTCTGAGTTGAAAAGTTTTAAATTATTAATTTTTGTATGCGTGTTTATGGATGCTGAGATTTAAATATACGTTATCATTCATTAATCCAAAATTTTATTTTTATTCGTTTATTGGTCATTTTGCGTTAAGAATTTGGTTTGCTGTGTAATTAATAACGTTTCAAAGATGGAAAATTATTTACTATTGTGAATTCCGCCTAAATGTTGCTATTTTTTTAACATGTTTAATGATATAGAAAATATTTAATTCATAACAAGTATGCCTTTATAAATAGTAAACTATAAAGAAGCAATGTCCCAAATTAGTATAACAAGTATTAATATATTATTTCGTATATAGAGATAATACGCTGAAGAATTTAAAACATTTTAGAAATAAATTCTTGATTTAAGAAAATTTTTGATGTCAATATTAATTTATTATTTTATATTAATTTTAAAATTCAATACAAAACCAATGACACATAATGGCCGTATCACACTAGCGACTCGCG